TGGGCAAGAGTATGCGCAACTGAGCTGCCACTTACTTTTATAATATATATTACCTCTTGATATAATTAATTGATAGGCTAATGAAAAAGATTTTTATTTTTATCCCTTAATCTGAAAAACAAAAAAAAAAGAAATATATATATATATATATATCATTAATTGATAAAAATAAAGTTTCTGAGTAAATGCAGTAGAAAAGGCATATATAGCACATGCATGGATTCTTGGTCGTCTCTAGTGCTTCATTCCCTCTTGAACTGATGGAGGAATACCAGCCTTTCGTTTCTCTCTCTCCATATTCCCATGCCATCCTTTAAATGAAATAGATTTATTTTTTCCAAAAATTAAAATAAACAAATAAAAAGAGAACAAGTAGAAAAGAGGCAGTCTAAAAATGATATTGATATAATTTCGTGAAAGAGTTAGTTATGACTTTGACAAAAGTATGCAAATGCAGTATTTGATATATTAATATTAAATGATACATTTCTGATTTCACTAACAATTTAAACTGTTTATTGAGTTACGTGGTTGTACAGCATTGTAACAGAGTTAGCCCAAATGAAATGTGTCTTTGAGTGAGCGTATTGAAGATATTAATATTAAAAGATATATTTTACTAAATGATGATTGCATTTGAATTTTATTTTTTTTCTAAAAGGGAAAATTAAAAAATGTGAATTTCTCCTTATGTGTAGAGAACAAATTAGGTTCATTTGGTTATTTATTTATGAGATGGGCCTTGAGTTGTAATAAAGAAAACAATTAGGGGCATCTGCATTTTTGTAGAATGTTAGTGAACCGGCCCACACCCACAAATTACTCATCGTTACTCTATTATAAAATATGGTAAGGCCGGATCTCACTAATAATCCCGGTTCATTTTATTATTTAGCCTCGTGTTTTAGTTCCTTATGTTTTTATTGTCTCAATTTTATCCTCCAACACTACAATTAATCTCATCACAGTCCATAAATATATAATATGGTTAACTTTAACGAAATCTTTAAAAATTGGATGAAACATTTCATTCTTATAATTATTTATAATAAACTACAAACAAAATAGTAACAATAGAAAAACATCTACTCGAATTAATTTTTAAATATTAAAATAAAATCATAAAAAGATGTAAATAAATTTAGATAAAGAATACATCTGTAGATGATATCTTATGATTGATTATTAGATATGTTCCTAAGTGGCCAAGTATATTAATATAAGTTCATATTTTCGTATAATTTTGTAAATTATATTTTTATAACTTAAGAGAGAGAGAGAGAGAGAGAGAGAGAGAGAGAGAGAGAGAGAGAGAGAGAGTACCTATAGAGAGGTCAAGTCCCAGATTGTGAAGGTGTCTATACTCTTGGCACAAAGCACATGTCTCGCAGCAAAAATGGACGCAGCAATCTGTGCCTGGTTTTTCCTCCAAGAAATACTGCCCTCTCATTTTTGACCTATACATACATGAGTACACCCAGCACCATCCTCCCATGCACGTGATCATCGAGTACAATGCTCCACTCACACCACACGCTGAAATTAAACAACATCAATATTCATAATTATTTATTTCCAAGTTAATTGTTGTTTTTTTAATCCAATTATGTGTTTATATATAAAATCGGATCGGCTTACACGTCGACCCTCGATCCACAATTTCTGCGATCCGACCGAATGCTATGCACGGGCACCAACACGTTAAGCAACCTGGGAGAAATCGATAATATACATAGTAATTATTTATTAATAAATATTGTTGCCAATGTAATAATAATTAGTAAAAAGATTTCTTCTCAAGTTCTTACAGATGCTAAGATTGTCGCAACAGTCACAGAGGCCAGTTGACCACTGGGCATGGTCATGTGGAGAAAGGCGGGGGCGGCCGCCTAAGTTTGGGGCGGCCACGGGTGGCGGCGGAAAGCACTGATTGACCACTGGGATACCGGTGGCGGCCGGTGCTGCCATTAGCGGTGGGGCTGATGGTGGCGGCGCTAACCGTTTTTTAAATTTCTTCTTTTTTTTTTTTTTTTAAGTTAAATACACTTTGCACCCCTTACTATATCAATCATTCACATTAAGTACCCCTAAATTATTAAAACTTAAAAGACCCCTGCTTTAATCGACATATGTTATTGTTGATTCCTTGGGCATTTATTCAACCCCTGCATGTCGAGATTTAGCAATGTGTTTTGACACTGTCATGTCGATTATAGTCTGTCTCAATTTTAATTTTTTTTCTTCTTTTTTTTTTTTGAAGATTGAACAAAATATGAATTAGTAATGAATTACTCTAGTGAATTTGCTAACCACACTACATTTCTAATAAAAGATGAATTACTGAGGTGGGTGATCGGGAGACGGACATAGGCGGCAACGGACTCAGGCAGCGACGGTGAAGGGGTTTTGTCTTGGAGATTTCAGGGCGACTGTGAAAGGGTCTGGCAAATTGGCTTTTCTAATTACGATGTACCGTTTTTTTTTTTTTTTGGTTTTTCAAACTTTACGGTGAAGGGGTCCGGCAAAGTGTTTTTCTTATTCCGCTTCTTTTACTTTTCCAAACTTAAACCTTGTTTTTTGGTCTCGAAAAAAAAAAGATGAAATGATCTAAGTGATGGGTATATTTAGTCATTTCATGGTGTTTTTTTTTGTTTGTCTTTTAATTTGATCTTACATTTAGTGGAACAAGTATTTCGAGTAGCTGCAGCCTTAATAAAATCATCAAATATTTTCTAATATTGACCCTCCATATATAGTTGGCTGACAGTTTCAATTGACCTACATATACAGTTGGATTGACAGATAGTTGAAATTTTAAAAAGTCAGTTGATCGATAATACTCGATCAACCGACTTTAAAAATAAATAGTTAATTAAATGATTAATATATTTAATTTAACCAATAAAATATACTGAAAATTTTCACCATGATTTGTACCCTAACTCTTGATGCATTGTATAAACTCCAAGATCGTGCAATAGCTCGCAATAACACAACTTTTTTTTTCTACTACGATCCATCATTAGTTAAGGCACCCTTCAACCATGGTTAAGGAAGACAATGGGAACATACATCATATAATATCAATCATAGAAACTTTAGTTTGGTCAACAATATGCTACTTAGATAATGACAAGATTGATATTATCCTACAAAGTTTAACCCGTTACATAATAGATCTTAAATGATTGTTTAATCAACTAACTTTTATAATGGGTTAAAACTATGTATATAAAATGAAGGCAACTCAAGCTTAAAATACCTAAAATATTTGCTCAGTTGACAAATCTGACTTGTGTGTTGGAAGTTACGTACTCCAGCACCTAAAGATATACATCTATATTTTATACTTTCTTTATCAATATACGTGCAAATTACGGCGAGCCGCTTTTTTAATTAAGGTTAAATTACGAAAATTTTCATTCCATTAGGATAATTATGAACTAATTGCACGTAACCTCTTGTGTAATTTCAAATTGCCGAGAAAATCCCTATGTTAAAAAATTAGCAAGGACCCCCTATATTATGTTATACGAAGCACGCCGCCCCTTACTTCAAATTTGATGGTTGACTTGTATGCAACGACTAAACTACCCCTAATAAGTTTTCACTAATGTTCAATTTTAAGCAAAAAAGATAGAAAAAAAATATCACACAAACAGAGAAGAATGGTTGGTGGTAATGGTGGGCGAGGATTTTTTTTTTTTTGTTTTTTTTTTCAGACTGGAAGAAAACAGTGGCGCAGCGGCAATTTTCGGTGGACAGAAATTGTGGATTCAGAAGCTATAGTAGCGGTGGTGGCATTCAAAGGCAGCGGCGGCAGCGTGATGGAATCAGAGCATGGGCTTCGAGTTTGGTGAAGTAACTGTGCAGTGACGGCAAATGATTCTTTGAGTTTGGCATTCTTCCTCTTCTTCCTCAGGATACGATAAGTTTCAAAAATTGGAAGAAAATGCTATGGGAATTGGAAGAAAGTGCTTTGATATTTTTTTCTTTGTTTGGGCAGGGATGTGCCGAAAAAGTTTAAGGCCCCGTTTTTCTTCCCTTTTGTTTTCTTGGATTTGGGATAGAAATGAACTTCATGCTCAGAACTGGATTTGGTTGATGGTTTTTGCTGGAAAAATCACGATGAAAAAGTGAAGGGCTGCTCTTGGTGTTGAAAAAGAGGACTTAATTGAAAATATTAACGACTCAACTTAAAATCTTAAACACTTTATTTTGGTACTTATGAAATTTTTGGTTGCATTTTTGTATTTTCATGTCAAAAAACGAACCCCACCAGCATTCATGACGAGTGAAGTGTACGGTCAGCTCTCAAGGGTCTTATTGCCTTGAACTAATTTTTATAGGAGGTATTTGCTAATTGTTTTAACACGAGATCTTTTTCAGTAATTCGAGATTACATGGGGTAGTTTTTGCAAAAAAATCGGATAATTATATTGCAATCATCTCCATTGACTATGTATGATGTCAAATTTACTTACTAAATAAGAAGTTTTTTCGTTAGAAATATATAGTTAAGAGGAGTGGTGATAATTACCCAAAAGTTAAAAATTCCTTTTATAATTTAACCTTACCTTAGGCGTTGGCCGTAATTTGATGTACATGTTTAAACGTAGAGCAAATTAAATTAAATATGGTAGGTAATATATTAATATCTGCATTCACAGTACTACTTTAGTCCATATCTTCTGGACATCAACATTTATTATGACCGAATCATCATGAATAATTTTAAAACAGGAGAACTTTCAAAGAAGCAAAAATCAAGATAGGATTTCCTTTTTTTTTTAATTTTTTTTTTCACCTTACTTCAGGAAATTGTCTATTTTAGGTTTTAGCGGAGAAATACGTTCTATTGAGATAAGGTTAAATTACTAAAAAATAAAAATCTTTTGTTTGGGTAATTGTAACTAACCATCAACTATGATTTTCCTTCCAAGTAATTCATTTGTAGAGTGTTAAATTCAACACAATCTTCTAAATTGCGTGGAATATTCTCTAATTTGTGCTCGTATTGTGTAAAACTATTATGCACCACAATCTTATATTTACAAAGATGATTGTAATTACCAAAAAAAAAAAGGTATTTTTCTCATAATTTGACATTAGTTAGGGGTGTTAGTAATTTACGCTCATTTTTTTTTTTATCTTTTTCCAGCTAAATGAGAGCTTTAGCTACTTGGAACTAGCCGATATTTTTCTCTTGGTACGTATTTCAACGCGTTAAATACCCAAATTAGACTTAGCAAAAAGAAAATTCAACGCCAAAGAAGAGAACATGTGACATAGTATTCAACTCTAAAACTATATTTTAATAAGGAAATAATAATTAAATATCGAAACATAATGCAGCACTATAATCCAATACAAAACTCAGAATCTTCTTAGCAATTTGCAGCCCCACTCGGAGACGACTTAAACTCAACTATACAAATATTGACCGCAATTTTAATTATTATTATTAATAATAATAATAATAATAATCGAACCTACTTTTCCTTCAATCATTTAATTATTTACGTGTTTTTTGTGTCTATAATCTATATATATATAAACACACATATATACCTATTTGCAGAACAAACTAAAGCAATCATTACAAATAAAAAAAAAAAATCATACTATCTCCCATGGATTTCAACACTAGCACAACTACTCTTCCCCAAGAATTATTTCACACAACAAATAATCTTTACAGCTTCTTCGACGAATTCGATATGTACGCGGATGACGACGATGTTTACTATTCCGAGCTCGAAAGACAAGTCTTGCAACTGACTGCAGACGACGATGAACAAGATCAACATTTCGATGCAAACAAGAACATTATTATTAGTCCAGCAGACAAGGGCCTAATTGTAAATAACGTTTCTCGTGTACTAAACGGAGGTAATTACTACAATTGGCCGGAGAGTCAAGACAATCTTGCCGCGCCTGCATGGATATCGAACCTGTGGAAGACCGGAAATGGAACCGGAGTTTTCATACCACAAATTGTACTTCAATCCAGAAAAACAAACAGGCCAAGTAAGTTCGATTTTACGATAATTAATATTTACTTAATTAAATAAATAAAGAAAACAGATATTATTCAAATTTCTAATAATCTTTCTGTTTTTAATATGGTTTGCAGGAAGGAAGAGGAATGGAAGAGGTAGAACATACAAACGGGTCGAGAAAATATGACCCGATGAACGGATAATTCGATTCTTTTATTTCTTATAAAAAAAACATATGAAATTAAATATATTCATGTACATCCTTTTGTCACTTTAATTTCTCCTAGTATAAATACAAGTTTGAAATTATACTTTGCAGATTTCAAATCTATATAGATATATAACTATACATATCAACATTAAAATAAAAATATACAGTTAATAATAAGCAACATGAAAAATCAATTCCAGCATAACCATATCTCAAAGAGACAACTAATATTTCTTACATTCATAAACAAATTAAATCAAGAAAGCTAGATCATACCGTCTGCCACACTAACAAAATTAAGCTAATATATACTTACACATTCGCCACATCCTCGCAAAACATACTCAAGGATTGTATATAATTTCGAGAGCTACGATCAAAATACAAACTTGGATTAATTATAATCATTCCTTAGGGCGCGCTAACCACAAAGAACTCAAAGCACGAAGCCTCGACTTATGATCACTAATAGCTAAAAGTGCACGCGCCGCTTGTCGTGTGGTCAATATTCGCTGAAGTTGTTGCAATGTCTGCTGCCTCAAAAGATCAGCCTATATCACAATCGAATAAAACCCAAAATTATTTTTTAAACTTAATTATTATAATATTGGCTATATTTATATATAAATAAATACCTGATGAAGGAAATTCTCGAGTGTGGCGAGCTTGCTCATAGCAATGGCCATGTGTCCCATATACTCGGCCACATTACCCGAACTTCGAGGGCCAAGAGAATTAGACGAAAGTGTGTCGACTAAAGATTGTTGCAAAGCTTCCATTCCTTGAGATAAAGCATCCTCTGCTTGCTGTGAGGATTGCTGCAGGTTACAAATTCCCATCACCTGTTGCTCCGTTAACGGCTCTATTTGATTCCCCAGTATCTGAAAAAACATTTATTTTCAATTAGTGAGGAATTAAACAAAATTAAAAAAGGGTAATTATTATGTGAAAGTACTAAATTGACCTTGAGAACTTCGGAGCAACGGAAACCACCCAACCACATGAAACAACGTTCGGCGGGAGTTTTCCACATGCCGGAAAGAATGTGGAATATATCCGATTTTGCTCCGATGCTTTTTAAACGGAATATTTCTTCGTAGTGCGACATTACATTTTCAACGAGAAGCCTCAATTCACTGTCGCTCACGTGTGAATTGACTGCTGATCGAAGATCGTTAATTAGTCGGTTTTGTTCGTCTAGCCATTTTGAGTAGTCTGTGTCGAATGCCAATGCCCCTATAGAAATATATTGTTGCAAATTAAAATAATTAAAGTATTTAAAAATAAAACTAAAATAAAGAACGTCGTTTGTAGAGCATCAGTTATTCGACTCACCGTTTCCACCTAACAAGTGGCTCTGATCTCCGGAAAATCCAGATGCGACGAAAACATTCTGCATTTATATTTTACATAGGAAGTAAATTGCAGTATATCAATGAAATAATCGTCGCGTAAGATTTCGGAAATCAAGACATTTAATTTGAAGTATATTAGCATATAATTGTCTCTAATTTAATTTTATTTAAAAAAAATGATAGATTGCAAACAGGGGAAGCACCTGCTGCCTCGTTCGTTTCAGCTCCGTTTCTAGTTGAGTAAGCTTCTGACGACCGTTCTCGAGCTGTTGAATATAAGCCTGTCCGCATAGATTAAAAGTAAATTAAATTTATAATTCCAAAAACCTATTAGCTATTTAAAAGTAAATTAATAATGATGAAATAAAATGTTTCAACTTCAGTTCGACAATTTAAAACGGGACCTATAACACATTAATCCAAGAAGTTAAAACACAACATAATGATGGACAATTTCAGGTTACATTGCATCGAAAAATAACGAAATATTGCACATAAAACTAGACAATCGGACCTCTTAAACAAAAGGTCGCGTTCTTTTTTTTTTTTTTTTAAAAAGGACGATAGTTACTGGTTTCAAACACGAGTAACACAAAATAGCAGAGGTCGATCACTTGTGATAAGTAGAGCAATTTATCCATGATTACTTTTTTTCGCATTCGGCTTTTGCGTGCAGCTTCACGGTTTTGAGCAAGCCTACGAAGCATCTGAAACAGAGCAAATAAATTCAGACAAAAATCACTTGTCCGAAACATCGAAGAAATTAAACGACATTAAGTTAGGAAATAAATAAACCTTTTGGTCTCCGATTTTTCGATTAGAATTGTCCATTGAATCCACACCCATCAATCTCTCATGACGAGCTCCAGGGTACTACAAAAATGTCAAACCAAATTCAAATCAATACAACCTTTCTATAAATAAATAACTCTACCATTTCAAAAAATCTACTTCACCAAAACAAGTGTACTGTATGTATAGTAATTAAAGCACTGTCACTGTGTATCTCAATTAAACATCAAAATCTGCTACTGCAAGATATATATTTGAAGACAGTGTATACAAATGTAGATACATTCATTATATATACTCAAGATTCACCTAAATTATTTTTTTAAAAAAATTAAAAAATACCAAATCGTCAAAAATTATTGTTAAAAATTCAATTTTTGATAAATGTGGGAAGATTTTTTTTTTTTTTTTTTTTAAAGGGACCTGATTTTTGTCATCGGTGTCCGTGGAAGTGTCAGTCTGTTGGCTGTGATCTGCTACGACGCCTGAATCTCCCCCAATTATCAAAAATGACAATTTCCCAAAACCCCCCACCACCACCCACCGGGCGGCGGCGCCGCCGCCCAACCACCGCCATTGTTCCCTTATCTGAAATGAACTGGCCGGAATCAACTCCTGTTGCAAGCATCTCAGCTGAAACCCAAATCCTGACACACACACACAAAAAAAAAAAAAGAAGAGTGAAATAAGAATCAAGAATACACGCACTAAAACGTGCAGTGTGTGTTTTGAGGAGGAAGAAGAAGAAGAAAGGCTGACATACATTGTTGAGAGGTGGTGCACCAAACTGCAAGTTATTACTAGATACAATAGAGACGTTGCTTCCCTTCAAATCATTAAATATTGAGCCTACCACCACCATTTTCAAATTATCAATTAACTCACAATTTCTATTATGTTGTTACCAAACACAAGGAGATTTTAGAGAGAGAAAATATTAATGAGAGATAGAGAGAGAAAGTAACAACTAATAAATGGATTAATTAATTAATGAGTAATTACTTGTGGTTAAATTAACTGCAGCATCATTAGTATGATGAAACCCATTATTCCCATTTCCAGCAGACTGCTCCAGCTCCCCAAGATCCGCAAAACGCGCCCCATTATTTCTTCCATCTTCACTTCTGAATATATATTTATATTTATATATGCATGAAGAAGAAAAAAACATGCACAAAAATGACACGAAAAATACCTTAATTTCAACAAAAACAGACATGCAAAAAGGAATTTAAAAAAAAAAATTATGGTTAGGAGAAATTAACCTGAGATAAAAGGGTGAGTGGGAATGGCAATTATACATATCGGAGGTGGTGAGATCAATACACTGTGTTGTTGTTGTTACAGCTGCTTTGTATCTATTATTATTATTATTATGCATTTTTTTATTTTTTTTTATATATCTTCTTACAAAGTACAAGTTGGATAATGTGAAACAAGGAGATATATGGAGAAGTAGTATTAGAAGAGATATAAAAAAAAAAAAAAAAATAGTAGTTTAATAATAATAAATAAGGAAGAAGAAGAAGGGAAAATCTTGGGTGTATCTTTGATGAAAAGGAGGTTGTTTGTATTGATAAAAGAATAGGTACTACGATACTATATTTCTCATTATTGCATACTGACCCCTACCCTTTCTGGAGTTTCTTCTTCCAACGTCTGTCACCACCCCCACACACACCCTTCACCTCTCACCTCACGTGTAAGTCGCGTGCCAATATAATTCAACTACTGTCCACATTTTTTTTATTTTATCCAACAAAAATGAAATACTGTGGGTCCCTGCACACATCCCGTTCTGATAAACTATAGGGGATTTTGTTGTAAGCAATTATCTAGAAGTGGAAGTTTGAGTATGGGTGGGCACAATTGAAAATTGTGGACTTTAATTTGTGTGAGGTGAACGATGCATGGGATGACATTTTAATCGCGAAAAGTTAGATAAATAATATACAGAAAATAATAATAATTATAAATATCACGCCTAGAATTCATGTGTTGGTAACAAGTGACATGAAAATAGAAGATTAAGAAAAAAAATCCCAGTGGATTAGGATTCGATTTGCTAGGAGCGTTATTAGAGAAAGAATAATGGATAATAGGAGATACAAAAATTAAAAAGATAAATAAATAAATGAATAAGACACTGAAGAAATTACTTTTATATATATATAACATCGGCAGCATCTAATGTCCTAAACATTTGCACTGTGAAATGTGTTATTAATTAATGAAAGGTAAATTACAACCGCCCATGAGGTATGGTTAACCCCCTCAACTATAAATTTTTTTATACGTTCACCCTCGCGTTTTCAAATTTAGTAGAATATTATCACTTTTGTATCCGTTTTATTCCATTCGAGATTCACATTTTGAAGCAAGGTAATCATAAGATGTGTATTTTTGCTTTTTATGTATCAGATTGTAGTGCATCAGAAACTGTATTTTTATACAAAACGAGTACAAACTAGATTCATAGTTAAGGAGTAGATGTAATTATCCACACAAAAAGAGATTTTTCATCATTTAACCATACATCAGCGATGGTTGTAATTTATCCATTAATTAATTATATAAAGTGAGATTTACAGCTAACACAACATCATTTGTTACCTCCCTTTATTATAGAGCTGTGCATCGGCCCCCATTGCGAAAATTTCATGTGACCCCATATAATAGTTTGATTTATCAATTGTTGTTTGCAGATTTTATTTCAAAGACGTGTTTATTATTCAAAAAAGAAGTACAATGAAAGATAAACCAAAAGTCGCAACTTTTTAAAATCTTTCAAACGACCAACAAATAGTCCTCGCCATCCAATATCATTTTTTTACAATAAATTTTGGGTTATTATTTTAGGGTAAATTACGGTCACTCTTGAGGTAAGGTTCAAATTACGAAAAGATATCTTTTTTGTTTGGATGATTACAATTATCCTTCATCTGAATCTTCTGACACGTCTACCTTATGATGTTAAATTCAAAAATAATATTTTAAAATTTGTGGAATGTTCTCTAATTTTTCTTCGTTTTGTGCAAAAATACAGTTCGATGCACCACAGTTTAATATTTATATGTCAGTATACACATCTTGTTATTATCTTGTTTCGAAATATAGAGTTTGAATGGGATAAAACGGGTAAAAACTGAAGAATACTCCACAAAATATAAAAGACTTCACTAGATTTGACACTGCAGATATAAACATGGAAGAAAATTAATAGTTGAATGGACTAATTTTAATTATAATTACGAGATTTTTTTTTTTGTAATTTGGCCCAACACATATATATCATCATCATTACACTTTTAAGTAATTAATTAATTCATGTGCATCTATTTTAACCAACTCAAACTTGAAGTCCCACCTACAAGAACACGAAATATACCCTACAAAAAATAATAATTACTACGATAGAGTAAATTTTCAACTTCCTTTCTGATGAGCCTACGATGTAATTATTTATTTATTTATTTATTTTATTACTCTCACCTAATTAAATATATATATATACATAGGTGTAAGAATCTGAATGTAAATATATATAGGCGTCTACGTCATGGGGAAGGGTGAGTTAATTTTGCAGAGTATATAAAGATGATGGGATGGTGATGAGATGGGATATACCAATAGAATCACTTTCTTTTTATTTTATTTTATTTATTTCTTAGAAAAATAAATATATATTATAAGAAGAGAGAGAAATATAATATATAAAAAATAAATTTGGTTAGGAGAAGATAATAAATGGGGAATTAAATGTAGAGGTTTTGCTTGGAAGTAAAGCCCTTGTATTGTACCTGTGCAGGAAGAGTTGGATAGCAGTATAAATTGTACGGGGCCCAGTTGATGCAGAGCCACCGCCACTTGTCTCTCTGCCACCGCAGCTCACATATACGACTCCTGCTTTTCATACGGCCGCGCCACCGCTCCCCGCGGTGGCTCTGGTTTTTAGGCTGTGCGCTGCCACTAGACGGCCACACTGTGGGGTTGTAGAAACCAATGTGTTGTTTCATTCAATTTGTATTTATAGGTGAAAAGATATGTATTGGTCAAAACCTCGCTATGTACAGGTAGTGGTGGAAATCGGACTGAATGGATCGAAGAATGATATTTTTTCGGAAATTTCCAATTTTTTTTTAAAGTAAAAATTGGGTTCTAATTTTCATTTCAAAATAATCGGAATTTTCATTCTAATTTTGGGAATCGTTGGAATTTCGGAAATTTTAGAAATTACATTAGTTTATATTCTTTTGTTCCAATTCGGATACAAGGGAAGATTTCACAATATTTTTCTATCTTTTTAAATTTTTTGCAGGCAAATACAAGAAAATCCAAAAGAGAGTTCAGCAAAACGCTATATATAAATATACACATGCAGGACCAACAAATTGAAACATAGACTTTCTTATAACGAAAAATGTAATATAAAGTTTCTGATAATAATTAATCTTTTATAAAGTTTTAATTTACTTGACCCTTCGGCATTTATATTTTTCATATAAAAAATACAACATAAGTTATATTATGGAATCACAAAATATATCATAAAATTATATTATATATTTCGAAAAATTATTGAAATATTAGGAACTAAAATCGGATCGGAAATCGAAATTTTCCGATAACTTTATATAACATTTCAGTTCCGTTCCAAATAAATTCAGGAGAATCGGAAATCGAACTTCAAAAATCGAAATGAAAAATACAGTTCCAAATTCAGATTTTTTTTTAAATTGGAATAGGCTGAATTCCGATTTCCACCCCTAGATATAGGACATTTTTGTGTGTTTTGTAGCTCACTTATATTATTAAAATTGGCGAGCAAGTGAGAAATTTGAGTAAAATAACTAATTAGAATTAGAGAAATAGTTATTAGAAAAAATAGAATATATATATATAACTCATTTCAATTAATTTCCCTACATTGAAATGCAACTATAATGAGTAGAATATAAAAAAATATATTGTGATTTTCTTTTAATACAATAGTATTTTATGGGGATATAAAGTTGACAAAAAGGTCAATTAAATAACTATTTATAGTTAAAGTTTAGTATTTTTTTTAATTGAATTTGAGCACAAAAAATATAATAATTTAAATTTTCTCAGATCATAAAAATCGTGAACTGTAAGATTTAATCGACATTTGAACATTTAAGATTTAATGAGAAAAATTAAATTGAATCAACCAATAGAACATCCGTTGTTTGAGTTTTTGTTCTATTGAATCAAAATGCTACAAATGCTTCTACGTATAAAACCTTTATAATTGTATAAAAAAATGTCATACAAAATAATTTCTTGGATAAGTTGTTGGTTTGTTTTGAAGTTAGTTATAAAGTTCAGGATTTTTTTCGTAACTTCGATTGAAATCAAAAGAAACATATGAATTACAAACACTTGGCAAAATTATTGGTAAAGTATGAGCATGAAAATTTAAGGTATGATAAATCGAATCGAACCAAATTGTATTGAGAACGTAAATTATAAGATTCGAATAACCGTGTACATAACTACGTATCTGTATCAAATATATATAGTATATAGAGTTTAATGTAAAAGTCAATCACTAAAGGAGTCTTCAAAATAAGATATAGAGATTCATTTTACATGTCCTAATAAACATATATTGAAGAATGTAGAGTTATTGATATTCTTTTTAACAAAGAAAAATTAGCTAAAATCTTTCGTAAGAAAGAAACTTAATTAACAAAAAGAATGTGCTTTTATTTTTCTTTAGTTAAACTTAACTACCTTAGTTCAAATTGCACACAAGAATTCGAGGAGAGTAATCTAACCAAATAAAAAATTACCTATGATTCAAAAAATGTGGCTCTGACACCGCTTCTCATAAAATGATATTATATATTTCGAAAAATTATAGAATTATTCGAAACTAAAATTGGATCGAAAATTAGAATTTTAGGTAATTTTATGTACTATTCCAATTCCGTTTCACATACAGTAGATACTCGATAAATTAATAACTTTGCTTAAATAATAGTTTCTTCTGGTCCCGACTCGATAAAAACCTACTAAATTAGTAGTTCAATAATTTAATATTTCACTAAATTAATAGAATTTTGCTAGTACCGACTGTATTAATTTATAGAAGTTTAATTGTAAATTCAAAAAATTCTGAACTTCGGAAATCGGAATGTAAAATACGGTTCCAAATTTAAATATTTTCGGATCGGAATTGACGGAATTCGAAAATTCCATTCCGATTTCCACCCTTAACTGAGGAGCATAACTATGGCCACTTTCAATTCAAATATAAAAGTTGGTATATTATTAATTAAACTGGTAAGATAACGCTGGATAGGTCGCATCTAGGGGTGGAAATTGGAACGAAAATTCCGATTTCCGCCGAATCCGATCCGAAATATTCCGATTTTGGAACAACTTTTTCAATTCCGAATTCCGAAAATTCCGAAAAAAATCGGATCGGAATCGGAAATACATAACAGAATTTCGGAATTTCCGATTTCCGATCCAAAATTATTCCGATTATTTTCCGATTTATTCCGATTTTTCCAATTATAATAATATTAATATTTATTACTATATATAATATATGCTATATGTCTATGCAGTCTGTACTAATTGCTAGTAATATATATTAGTATATTACTAATATTTTTTTTCCAATTATTATATATATATGTATTTGGACATATTATTTTTTTTTTATTTTCTAAAACATATAAAATCAAAACTCAAAATTTATTAGAATTAATTCGAAACCCTTATTTGATGTTTGTTTCTGCAATTTGGCTACTGTGTCGGTGATCAATTTTTTCTTTCTTTTTTTCTTTTTTTTTGGGAAAATTCCGAAAAATTCCGACAAAAATTCCAAAAATTCCGAAAATGAAGATTTCCGAAAAATTCCGATTTTCCGAAAATTCCGAAAAAATCGGAATCGGAATCACTTTTTGAATTCCGAAAAAATCGGAATCGGAATCGGAAGGCGTTTTGGACTTCCGAAAAAAATCGGAAATTTTCCGAAACCCCCAAATCCGATCCGATCCGTCCGATTTCCACCCTAGTCGCATCTCACATTGGTCACGTTATATTTGTGATTTTTGGTCAATGAAATGTCAATTTTTCCTATTTATGACACATTAATTTTGTTATTAAATTGTCGGGCGTCCTCCTACAGTTTCAACATTGTTTGACGTCATATATTGTCAATATCATACTTAAACATCTCCACCTACCATATAAAAATAAATAAATAAGATCTAAAATGTTATAACATGTTGGACCATATAACATGCGATTTTAGTTAGTTTGTAATGAAAATAGAAAATGTTGAAGCAAAATGATGGCAAGTGTACTAAAAAATGTGTGCATTTATATAGGAGTTTGAAAACTATGTGAAGTGGTTTTTTTTGTACACTTTGGTCTCATTTCTCATGACAAACTTTCTCCTAAATCATAAGCATTTTTCTCTTACTCTACACATTTTGGTTTTTATTAACTACCTCCGGGATCATATTTTTTTTTCCAAATTTCGAGCTCCGATCCTAATTAACAGTTTAAATTTTAACATGAGATGAATTATTCAACACGACATCAGAGTGAGATCAGATAAAATATTTTTTGTTTGAATCCCCTCGCCAATTCTTTTTACTAGAAATGGACTACTTGGAGCTCTCAATTTTTTGGTATGACTCAAACAAAGCAACTGCACTGTCATAAAATTACTTAATAAGGCGATCATTTAATAAGTTTTACATGCAACACTAATATGTGTGCAATCAACCCACGGAAAATAGAAAACATAAATTAATTTTAATATATATGAGTTTATTTTATAGATTTATTGGAAAATATAAATTAATTCCATGTGACCCCATAAAATCTTTTTCTTTTGGACGTCGTGTAATAAACTCAAATTTCAAGGTAATGTATAACAATCACATTTTTTTTGTTGAATTTGTGCACTAGGTAAACCCCTCTTGTACAATAGTCCGTGAATCACACGAAAGATGTAAGTATAAATCGCACTAGATACATATGCAACAAATTTGACTTCAAAAGTATTAGTAAGTGGATCGGATTTGAGTCGTTATACGTCGTGTTCTCGTTACTCATCAATTAGGCCACCTTGCGGGGCCGGGTTGTACAACAATCACATTGAGGTGAAAATTGAATTTCCAATTTTCATTTATTAAGAATAAGAAATTGAACACATCTAATTTTTGCAGCTGGACTCGTGATCCATTTTCCAGATTTTTCCAATCTCAAAAGGATTATATTCATTTTATTTCTTCCATATTTTCTAAAGCTCAATGGCCCAACTATGCAATTACTAAACCAACATATCCTAGAATATTTCTGAATTTTTTTTCTTGAAAAGAGGATCGAAAATCTATAAAAGGAAAATCAAGTAAAATTTGTATCTATTGGGTAAAAGGTGTTAATTTGGTCAAATGAACCAGAAGTTGCGATAATTCGAAATCATACATCGAAAATAGAATTAAAAATGGTAAAGTTCAGTGTATGGCGAAACTATCAACACTAAGTGTAAGCTGAAACTATATTCGGATAGTTTGAAAAAAAATGTTCTACTATCATGTAATCGTGTTTCGCAATAGAAGCTTTATATATAGAGGATAACGGGTTTTAGTTTGGAACTATAATCTAGTGTCAATACATGAATTAGTGGAGTCAGTCATTCCCTTAAGACAATATCGTGTACTACGATTCTTAACTTTGGTTAGCCGATCTATTTTAAGGAAAGAGCACAACCATAAGTTGGCTTGTTGCTCATCCACTCTAACAACAAGAGCCACTTATAACTATTTTCAAGATCAGCAAACAACAAGAAACAGTGATTGGTCCTCACAAATTTCACATACTTGTCTAAAGTATTCACTAACTCTTTCTTATTGCTGATATTCCTCATGATTTAGTGAACATGTCCCTTCAACTTAGGAGGAGGGAGAAGAATCGATTCTCTTGTGAATCTTTCTTGGACCCGTTTTCTCTTGGGGTGGGCTGAAATCCCACCATACATTGGGTTTCTTGAAGGTGGACACAAATGATGAGTTAAAGCACAAAATGTAAGTCAATTTACGTACGGTGGAGACATGCAGAGAAGAAGACGTTAAGGGAGGCGCGGCATATTTGATTTTGGTAACTTATGTGGTGGCAACGCTGGTGGTGGTTGATGTCGTGGATTATGTTGCGATGTTGATCTTTTGGTGGTTGAACCGCTTGTTTTTGATGTGGTGATTGTCGTCGTAGGCTATGCTGTGATATTGGTTTTTTGTGGTTGAGTTAGCGTGTGATTCTTCCTCCTTATCGTCAGTTTTCCTTTTGCTTTGATGTTTTCTCAATTTTGAGGCCTTGGAACAAACGGTTATCAGGTCAAAGATCAAAGAAGTAACGATAAGAGCCACATTATGACAATCTTTCAAGTGCAAAGAGGTTGATCGATGCAATCAAGGTAGAAAGGTCAAGAGTAATCCCGAGCCAAATTAAAAAAATATATATATATATATATATATATATATATATATATATATATATATATATATATGCGGACCACAAAAATTATGGCACGAAACTTAAAGCCAGTTGCTAGTAAATTTTTGACCGACAATTTCATTAAATCCCCTCACACGAAAGTTGCAACATACAATTAATTTGACTACTATACAAACAAGGAACTACTATTAAAATAAATAGCAATAGTTACAAACACACACCCATCATGTGGGCCCAAACCATGGGCTTACAGTTATTAAGGACAGGCCCACTCACTCACAAAAAAAAAAAAAAAAAAAAAAAAAACTAGATCAATTTATAGATAATAATAATAAGGAACACAATAAAACTTTTAATTAATTAAACAGTTAATTAATCACTAATTTCTTTTTTAGACACAATCAAATAAATAAATTATCAGCATTTATTGGGTGAGAACCCAATAAGAGAATTAGCGAGGTCGTAACTGACACGTGTCCCCTGCTGCTGAACATTCCCGATAATCCCAAGCTCCGACGCCGTCGGTGCGAAGGCGAAGCAGAAAGTCCCCGACGAATCCACCGGTATTATGTAGTTCTTCGCCGGTAAACTCAGCGATTTGCCGTTCGAGAAGTGAAACGACACCGTCGGCACCTCGACGCTCTTCCTCGAGCTCAGATCGTAGCACGTGTCGAACAGCGCCACGCCGGCGGCCGTCGGGAGCTCCTTCGTCCCCTTCCTGAACGCGTCGCGCATCGAGTTGTACGCCTCCGTCTGCAGCCTTGTGACGGCGGTGCCCGAGTCCACTATCACCCCGCCGCTGCCGTTGTCGTTCATCTCGAACGTCGACGGCGGGATCGGCAGCAGATCCCCGGCGACGCTGATTCCGGTTACGTCCACGTAGTAGAACGTGTCGAGCTTCGAGTTGCGGACCAGCGGGGCCGTGACGGCGTCCGGCGGCGCCGCCGAGTTGAACTCGAGAGTCGACGCCGAGTCGGAGTCGCGGTCCACGAGGCAGTAGGAGAACGATGAGGCGTTGATTTGCGACGGGAACGACAGCCTGCCGCCGCCCAATCCGATTAAGCCGGCGGCTCCGACGAACAGCCCCTCGTTGTTGTGCCCGCACCCGATGGCAACGTTGTCCACGGCGGCGGAGCCGCCGAAGGTGATGGTCTCGGTCACAAAATCCCCGACGGTGTAGGAACCGTCGCCGTAGGATACCTCGTAGAGGCACGTGCCGTTGCGGCACTCGGACACGTCGAGCGACTGGCATTGCTGGGTCTCGCACGTGAGAGGAGTGAAGGAGGAAGACAGACCCGGGTCGTAAATCGGGTCGGCCTGCTGGTAACAATCCGCGCAGGGGGCGCACTGCACCCAGTTGACGTCACTCCCCGTGTCGAGCACCATGTAAGCCTGAGTCGAGGGGTGGCCGATTCCGACTCGGCAGAAGTACTCGCCGCTGCCCTGACTCGTGCCGGACATCACCGGGCCCTCCAGCTTCTCCTCGCCGAACTCGGATTCCAGAGGGGTTAGATCTGCTTTCGTAATCCCCAACTCGCCAGATCTAGCCGAGTCTGAATCGCTCTGACTCGGGCCGAGTCACGCGCCAGCCGAGCCAATGTGAGTGTGTAGTAGTCCTTCTCGGAGCTTCCACGGACCGACAATCGAGAGTGGAGCTGGAAACTGAGAGCGGAGCCGGTAGAAACGGCTGGGCGGCGGTGGTGTACCTCGTGCTTCGAGGATAGTACGTTTTGGGGATTGAGTGAGAACAAACCCTGGGCCCTTGAAAGCGAGGAAGAAACATCAAGAACAGATGTTTCTGAGTTGAATGGGAGTGTTCTTGAAATCACCGAAGGAACAACAATGGAGAAAATTGCAGCGAAAATTCCAAGGAAAAAGCCCAATTTCTCCATTTTACACGTACTGCTGTGAGTGAGTGAGTGAGGGGAGTACGTGAGATACAAGTGTGTGTGTGTGTGTGTGTGTGTGTATTTATAAAGAGAGTCACGCAGGAATTGTTGGAGGGTTATGAGAAAGCAAATTGAGAGAAGCTTTGAATGAATGTGGGGAGAAGAGATTTTTTGGGTATTTTAATGAATGTTGTTTATATTTTTCATTAAAAAGGTTGTTAGATTTTGCTAATGTCATCATCTCACATGAGTTTAATTTTGCGACTTGTGATTAATGTCTTGTCACGTAAAGATCATCCCTTTAATTACTACTAGTTTACTTATTCATTTGCTTAATCTTACTTTGAGTCTTGGCTTTTGCACTATTTAAAAAAATTAATGATATTTTGCACCGTTAAAATACAATAAATCATTTACATCCTGAATTAAATATTTAAAATTTTTAATTTTGCTGGGTTTTTTCTTTTTTT